TCCCCCTCGGGCCGCGGCTGCTGCGGTGAAGGCAGGTGCCCTGGCCCGGCCGCTGGGTCGTCTTTTATTTTTAAAAATGTTTTTATTGGGGATGGAGCCCGCAACCTGGGCATGTGCCCTGACTGGGAATCAAACCGTGTCCTCCTGATTCATAGGTCGACACTCAGCCACTGAGCCACGCCAGCCGGGCTGGCCTTTAGGTTCTAACCCGGGAGGCTCCCAGGCAAGAGGGCAGTGCCATCGAGGCCCATGTTTTGGTAAAAGCGCCAAGAGTGACACGGCCACCGTGGAAGGTGCCGCGAGGGGACGGGGAGGGAGCGGGTCAGGCTGGGCCTTCCCGGGCGGGGGGGTCACAGACATGGGCAGCCCCCAGCTCTGTGGGAGGTGAGCCACCCTCCCCTCCTCCAGAGTCCAGGGCGGGGTCCTGATGCCCGGGGACCTGCCCTCCAGGCCGTCCTTGTGGTGCCCTCTGAAGGCACCTTCCAGGCCCCGCGTGGGGCTGGGTGCGAGGGCCAGGAAGGATCTGACCCCGTTGGCCGGGCACGGCGACAGGTGGGCTGAAAGACGAGCCCGTGAACTCGATCTGTGCGCGGGGTGGCCAGCGGCTCGGTTTCAGCTCTCACGGGGCGAGCATGACCGCGCGGCTTTATATAGCTCCGCGGGCCCATAAAAGCAGGAGGAGCCCTTGCGGAGGGAGCATCGTCGCTGTCCGGCTGGGCGGCTCCTCCCCTGAGCAGTAGCGGCCCCGCGGGGGCGGCCACCCCGCTGCCCCCAGGATGCCCAGCAGGACGGTCCGCTATGAGGGCTACAGCCCTCGGCAGCGGCGCCGGCGGATGCTGGCCCAGCGCAGCGTGCGCTTCCCCAACGACGTCCTGTTCCTGGACCACGTCCGCCAGGGCGACCTGGAGCAGGTGGGGCGCTTCATCCGGGCCCGGAAGGTGGCCCTGGACACCCTGTACCCCTCAGGTGAGCGCCCGCAAGGCCGGCCGAGGTCTGTGAGCGGCAGGGGGGGCCTCCGCCTTGACCCCCTCTATCCTGTCCTGTCCCGCCCAGGCCTGGCCGCCCTGCACGAAGCAGTCCTGTCCGGGAACCTGGAGTGTGTGAAGCTGCTGGTCAAATACGGGGCAGACATCCACCAGCGCGACGAGACGGGCTGGACGCCCCTGCACATCGCCTGCAGCGATGGGTACCCCGACATCGCCAGGTGAGGGGGACCAGAGCTCCCCCCCTCCCCCGCCCCGCTCCCGGCCTCCAGCAGCCTCCAGGAGGCGTCCCCCAGGCTGCCCTGGCGGTGTAGCCAGGACCTCGGGCGCAGCATCTCCTCTGCCCTGTGCCCTCCCGGAGCAAAGGGGCGGGTTTCCCCCTCGGCCCTCCCGGAACAGGAAACAGGCGGGACTCGGCTGCAGCCTGGGCCCCGGGGCTGGGCAGGTCCCCCAGCCTCTCCCGCT